AAAAAAGCCAGTTAGTGTCGGCTTGTCGTATACGTCGCTAAGTACTGTCGCGAATTCATAATACCAGCTTTGTATTCCTGTGGTTTAGTAGCATTTTTATTTTTGGCCGGAATTTTTTTTTATTCGCCCGCGCGCACTAGATTGGGGGTCTTCAGGGGATGCCATCCATAAAATTAAATCGGTGTGGCCTTATATATAGAAAGTGGATCTGTGTTTTACCGGCTGACATAGCCCACCCACGCGTGGTTTAAATGCAGTGAACCAAAGTACCGCAGTGTCACATGAAGTGACTTCAGTGTTTGGAAATGCGTACATATTTTGGAATGCACAATGTCCTTTTTACTTCATTTCACTTTATGGTTTATAGTGGTTTCAAGAAGTTTTTTTTTTGATAAAAAAAAGGTAACGTAAAAGTGACACCTGTTTTGTTTGAACAAATGTTTATAAATGGTGTAGTCTCACTGTACCTGGTGCGTTCTGTCATGAGATTTTATTTTAATCTTCGAGGACAGATCGGAATTATCCTTATGGTGGTCCAACTTACTTGTGCCGGGACTGGCAAAACTAAAGAATTTTTTTTAATCATTATTCCATCATGTAATCACCAGACGTGGTGACGGCACACTCAAGTTTTTTCAACTAATCTTAATGCCGCCACCAACACATGGGACAAATACATGACAGGACAATACTCATTTACACCTGAGCTAAGTGAGGAAAGTCGTGTAAAGAGCCTTTCCCAAGGGCACAAGATCGGTGGCATGTCAGGACTCGAACCCGGGACTCTTAGTTCCGAGTCGCGCACACTGCCGCTACGCCACACGACCCCACAACAAAATAAAGAAATTTTGACCCCTGGCTAGTGTCAAATTCTCGGAATGGGGTGGCGGATACTATTTCTTGTCTATTTTAGAATATTTGCGTGTTCATTGAGCACATAGAATATTTACTTGTTCATTGCGCACAACCTATAATGGTACGTACGTAGCAACAAATCCTGTGCAATGAAACCTTCTCACATCCGTCTGCACTCCCTATCCTTGTGGTAGCAGAACACAGTTTTCGCCCTATGGGGATTTCTCTAGTTAAGGACCCCAAGATGACTCACTTCGACGCGGTAAAAATTATAGCAGGGTGCACTTCACAAATACGAAAATCGAATATGTTTGAGAAGAAGGTACAAACTACAAAATATCTAGAAACCAAAAAATCCTGTCGGCGTATCTGCTCGTAACGTACACTTTGAAATGGCCTCCTACGGAAGTGACCTGAACTGCAGCCGACTCACCCGGAAAGCCAGTTGCGCAATACGGCGCATTTATACAAGAACTGCAAAACCTTTACAATTCAAATCATACAGTCTCAAACCCGATACATTTCTACACCACACAGCACAATTTACATTTGGCTGACGCTCTTATCAGGCTTTCTACCCAGCCTTCAAGAATATTCGCTGCACTACTTTCTATACCCGCGTCATAGACCCCCCGGGGGTCGCCCATTAATACTGTGTTCTGCTACCTTGATCTTGCCATGGTGCCCACGGCGCCATTTATAGTGTTGCCTAGCAACGCAGACGAGAAGTTCAAGCGCGTAAATAATGGATTCTCCAAGCAGCTTTCAGAAAGCCGTGTTTACCGTGGAGGTTTGCCAATTAAGCCTCGGTCACAACTCGCCGTGCGTGCTTTTTGTCCGTACGTTTTTGTCGTGGCTACGTCTGCTACGTTTTTTCTGCAAACGTAGGGTGGCCGGCCGAGGGAGTACGTCACTCGCACGGTTGCGCAAGGTGTACGTACGTGGTCTGCACGACACGCCTGGCCGTCAGCGGTTGCGTGCATCGTACGTTGCGCAAGTGGTAAGTGAGTTGTACGTGCTTACAACGCACGATCTCTGTGCGATTGCTACGTTGCCGCGTACAGGCCGTACCTACACGTGCGGCGTACGCACGGTTTCCTTACTCACTCGCACGTTGTAAGTGCGTGCACCTCCTGTTAACTTCATCATCACTAGCCGCCCTGGTGTCTTCCGCGGCCCGTTTCTTTGGGTCTTGTCTGCTAGTCTTCTTCTGAGCCTTCCTGGGCATCTTGGAGACGAGTTGGCAGTCGCCGGTCAAGTCGTCTTTATATACTGTAGAAATCAGGTGCGTTGCACGTGCGTTGCACGTGCGGAGCACCTGGTATGGTGCACGTGTGTTCTGCGTGGTCATTGAGCAGATCAACTGGGAAGTGAGGAGTAAGCACGGATGACGCAAGCACCGTGCGTGGCACGCACATGCTTCGTGCGCTGTCCGTACAGCAATTGCACGTGAGAATAGTGAAGTTAGACTCACGGAGTCCGTACGTTGCACGCTCATAGGCTGTACGGGGCACGCGCGTCGCACGTACTCGCACGCACGGGTGGTAAATCCGCAGACCGCACGTAGAAAAAGTATTACATGCACTTAAAGTTCTACGGCGTGTCTGCGTGCTGCCAAATCCGTAGGATTCCGTACGGAGGTGGTACTCACCACGCACGGATGCCGTGCGATTGCCCACGTTTTTGCACGTAGACAGCACGCAGAAGCACGTACGGCGAGTTGTGACCGTCGCTTTATGCGGAGCAAACTAACTGTGGCAGTATTGAAGAGAGAAAAAACGCCCAGTCATCAATCTTAATGTAATTGGAGTTAAGGCCTTGAGTAAATAATCAAGTTACGTCGACGAAGGCTAGAGATTTAGGTAAGGCCACACCAAGTAAATTTTATGGATGACGTCCTTTGGAGACCCTAAATCTAATGCGAGAGGGCGAAAAAAAAACAAGAAGGGCCCTAAAAAACAAGATGCCTAGATTAGAAATATTGCACTGCTGACAGGACCGTCCTGTCTGTTAATAGTTCCAAAAACGGCACTGTATTGGAGGATTTGACAGGATTTTTTTCAGTACAATTTTTTTGTTTTTGTTTTCATTTTTGTTTCCATTTTTTAACCAGGCACAGGCTTTCGGCGTTACGGGTTTCACATCAAACTGACGATTTGCGGCACTGTCGTGACTCTTTGGTCATAGTTACAGGAAGCGGAATTTCTTGTTTTTTTTTTCTAGGAACAGGCCAAAATCAATGCGCGCGCGGACGTCATCCATAAAATTTACTTGGTGTGGCCTAATGAGATACACAAGAAATTCTTCCTAAAAAAACTAGCAGAATCACTGCCGAAAAGTAGTGGATGTTACCTGAAACGTCTGACAGTTTTTAAAGCCTATCCAGTGGTTTGAGTAACAATGTCTTGTGTAAAAAAAAATCAAGTTTCAAGTGAAGAAAACACGCCTAGAAATAGCTGCGTTGTTAGAATAAATTTCTAGCACTCCCACACTTTTACAAAGAAGGTCGTTTCACTTTTTTTTTCAGTGGAACTATATATAGTGGTGTTGCATTCTGAACACGTATGCGTACCGTCTGCTACATAATTATTGAATCACAGGTCTAAAGCCCGGTTGGATGTTGTCAAAGGTCACCCACAGAACACCCACCTCTGTCGGTTGTTTATAACTGAGTCTTGTTCAGAACCAGTTAGCGAATCGGCCAGGAAGAGAGCCGTGTGATTAGGCCACACCGCCTTAATTCTATGGATGACATCCTTTGAACACCCCCAAACTAGTGCGCGCGGGCGAAAAAAAGAAAAATCCGTCCCAAAATAAAAAATACTACTAAACCGCAGGAATACAAAGCCGGTATTGTGAATTTGGCGCATTACATCGCGATGTATACGACAGGTATACAAATGGTATACATGCTGGCTTTTTGCGAAATTTATGAATGGACACTGTACTGAGTTCTTGAGTCGTGGAGCTTCGGTAGCCTGGGTGCCGTCCTCCAGAGTTACCACCGGCGTCGTTGTCGCATGGACTACCCAAGCCTAAAGCCAGGCCAGAGACTCGGAAGACGTGATCTTTTTTTTTTTTTTAGATCAGGCGAAAATCAATGCGTGCGCGGATGTCATCCATAAAATTAAATCGGTGTGGCCTTAGAAGTGAAGGATAGTTCTTTTACATATCCAAATTTTTGGTGTCTCTCAGACACTTTCCTCAGAGCTTCTGACAAGAGTTCTGTTTCTTGCCACTATATGTAGCCGGTGTAGGTGGCGCTTTTGCGCCGAGAACACTCTTGTATCCTATACAAGAGTGTATACCGACCTGATGAAACTATTTTAGGTAGAAGTGAAGGAGTTTGTTATACTGTTACACACAACAAACGTTCAATGTTAAAAGCGAAGTAGACACACATAGAGGTTCATTCACACTCAGCAGAGCATACAAATTTTCAGAATTGTCGTCATAGAGCGGCTGTCAACACTGTCTTTTCCTCGACAATTTTTAACCACAGTCTAATGTTAAAAAGGAAGTTCATGTTTAGTAGGTCGACATATTACTATGATCAGTTTATACTTTGTTACCTCCATGAAAAATGGAGGTATTGTTTTTGGCGTGTCTGTCTGTATGTCTGTGTGTGTCTGTCTGTGTGTCTGTGTGTCTGTGTGTGTGTGTGTGTGTGTGTGTGTGTGTGTCTGTGTGTGTTTCCACAACTTTGTACTCAGCATAACTTTAGAACGCCTTTATGGATTGTGATGATATTTGGTATGATGGTAAGTCTTGGAAAGACAAAGGTCAAGGTCAAGTATGGGTCTCCTGGTGGATGACCTTGGTACTGCAGCAGAACTTCCGGTTTTTGTATCTTATGTTCTGAACAAGCTACGGTCTTGACTTTTTGGTGTCAGATAGCTTATCCTGTCAGGAATAAGTGGCGTAAGTTTGGACCCCCTAGCAGCTTGTTCTGGAACTGCAGGTTAGTTTCTGGTAAGAACTTTCAAAGCCAATAAGTCCAGATTGGAACAACGTATTTTCATCATTTTTGGTGTGTAGGTACCTGAGAGACAGTTGTACATGATTAAATGCAAATTATGCAAATGAAGACTTAATTTGCTTTCGTGAATTGATTCTCTTTTTTATCACATTTTTGTTGGTTACAGTTTAATTGTCGGAGCCCCTAAATCAGAGAACCCGTACCAACAGTGGGTGGCCCTGCCTGGTGCCGTGTACAAGTGTCGGATGACAACCAATGAGAGGGACTGTAGGATCGTACAGGTTGACACGGCAGGTAGGTTCACCAATCAGAGGGACTGTACTACTGCAGGATCCACCAATCAGAGGGACTGTAGGATCGTACAGGTGTTCAGATCGACATGTTATGTGGAATTTTCCAGTACCAGTATCAATATTGAAACTGGACGGTACCAGGGAATTCCTGAGGATAATAGAATATGTACCATGTGTGACCTGGATGAAGTAGAAAACGAAACACATTTTCTTTTTTACTGTCCCTTTTATGATGATCTTCGAGAAAATATGTTTCGTAAAATTTATACAAAATCACCTGATATCATATGGGAAAGAGATGAAAATAGAATTAAGTGGCTCTTTAACGAGGGTGTATCTGACCTAGCAACGTTCATTTATCGAGCGTGGGGAAAAAGAAGAAAATACCTGTATTCATAACACATCAACAGTTGTCACTTTTTGTTACTTCTGCACGTTTGTTTTCTCTTATTATGTTTGATTTACCTTATGTACTTGTATTTATTTTGAGATCTTGGTTCATTATGTACAGATTGATTTATTTGCATTTACGATCTGTTCTGAGTTCACTTATTTGTTTACCATTATTGTATATAGCCTACCTTTATTTATGTTCATATTCTGTTTGGATTCTGTTATCTGTACCTTTGATTCTCTTCTGTTTATGTATAATTTATTGAATCGGTGTCGTATAAGCCCACACGGGCTGGGCGCGGGATAGCGCACGACACGGAAATAAAGTCTCATTCATTCATTCATTCATTCATTCATTCATTCATTCATTCATTCATTCATTCATTCATTCATTCATTCATTCATTCATTCATTCATTCATTCATTCATTCATTCATTCATTCATTCATACACCAGGAAACCGGTACGAGTACCAACGTAATTGGCTTGTAGGATCAAATTTTCTCAAGAAAACATGGCTGTTATTAATAAATGGATAAGTACGGTTGCAAATGTTGTCTAACATTCATTCTTTTCTGTTTTATCTGCCTTTTTTGCAGACATCGCTGAAGACCGAAACAGAACGGGACAGTTCCTCGGTGCTACCGTCAGAAGTATGGGTCCAGGAGGAAAAGTCATGGTATGTATTTACTGTTCTTTGAAGAAACAAAAAAGCCTTGCTTTTTCTAGGACATACTGTGAATTCCTATACTCTTTCGCTAGGCATGTGCACCAAAATATCGTGACGTGTACACAAGAGGCGAAGTGAGGGTCTGGGAACGAGGGCGATGTTATCAGCTGAACCAGGAGCTCGTTCCCGATATCCACCACTCTAGTCAGGGGATCTGGAACCTGTGTGACGACCTGCCGGCCGGACATTCCCAGTACGGGTACTGTCACCTCGGGACTGCTCTGGAATTCTCACACGTAAGTCTCAACATGCAGACCCTTAGGACGTACTCTTATTACCTCCGGGGGAGGAGACATCCTTCCGCGGAATTGTTTTGTGAGAGATTTAGATTTTCATGTTCGCAGCTGTTTCTCGCGTTTGGGTGGACGGATTCTTTTGAGACTCGGTATATGGTTTGCTATTGGGCTGCAGATAATGCACGTTCTTTTGTTTTTATTGTATGTGTGTTTTCGGGCGTGAAAATGGTGCCTTTTGGTGGCCCCAGAACACCCCTTTGAGCGTGAAATTGGTCGCGACCGTTGACCTTTGGCGTGTATAAGGTATTTTCGGTCTCGTCCACGAAGGTGACCCCTCGCACAGAGGGGTGTCCGGTCTCCTTGTTTAAACCCCTAGTCCTGCGGGGGGAAACAATATATAAAAATATACAATAAAGAGCCCGGGTATAAAATTTCAGATTTTACTTGTCTTTAAGTCTAGAATGTACTATCTGTATCTGTATCTGTATCTGTATAGCCGGTATAACCGCCTTTCGGCGTAACACACCAGCTTCGCAGGCACGCGGCGCGGCGGCAGCTGGCTATATTACACCGATCGACTTGTTACACCTAACCCTTGAACTTCTAGCTCTAGACATTGTTTAAAGCTATCTATTGACAATGCCCCTACTGTACTTGGTGACAGTGAGTTCCACTCTGCGATAGTTCTAGGAAAGAATGAATTCTTGAACACCTCAATCCTTGGTTGATAACTCTGGTACTTGAATGCGTGGCTATTTCTTGTTCTCTTCTGGGCTGGTATTAGGTACTTAGTAGTTGGGACATCCACCAGTTTATTAGTCATTTTGTACATCATGCATAGTCTAGACATCTTTCTTCTGTCTTCCAGTGAGGTCCACTGTAGGTTTCTTTTCATTTCCGTGACACTAGCACCTCTTACATAGTTGTTCATACAGAATCTTGCAGCTTGATTCTGTACCCTTTCCAATTTGTCTTTGTCTTTCTTTGTATATGGATCCCATACTGTTGCAGCGTATTCTAGGGTCGGTCTTACAAGTGACGTGTATGCAAGTGATTTTACTCTAGTTGGACATGCCCACAGATTACGTTTAATCACTCCCAATGTCTGTTTCGCCTTAGTTGTGATATTATTAACATGTGCACCCCACTTCAGTCCGCTTGTCAGCGTGACGCCCAGATACGGATTGATTTTTGTGGTTGCTAAAAGTATAACATAAGATCCGTCAACAGAGCCCGTCACTTGACTACGAGAGATTTTTGTTTACATCAATTAGTGGTAAGCATATGTAAATTATTGATAGACACATGCAAATTAGTGTACCGCGTGCTGGGTATGTGGTCATGTAAATCGCTCGTATAGATCGCTTCATTTTGTGTAAATTTCGTCATATTTTACAACCTTTTGCTGTATACATGTGGGTAAGTTCAATGACAAAAGCGTTTGGTCGTCAGATGGAAGAATATGTCGAAATATTTTTATGCTATTTATTTTCTTTGGTGACGTCTCAGGGAGGAGCCTAATGGTACAGTATTGTGTGCAATTCGCAAGAATTCTAGGAATTGTACAGGCATTTTGTCCACAGGCATGCGGAATGTCCACAGGCATGTCTCTGACCCACATCTATGCCCACATTCCTGGAACCCTGAAGACCTGTCTGCCCCAGATGGCCCTACTTTCTGTGACCCCGGGGCTCGTTCACTATGCACTCATGAGAGGAGTGTACTGTATCTGTCTAGACTTAACAGGTACCAAGTCTTCCTCAAAATCATGAAATGATGGCAGTACCATGCAAACAATAACCCTAACAGAAACCACCGCTGCCTTAGCAATGTATGTTTTCATTGCCAGTCTTGTTTAACTTTTCTTTAGGACGGACAAGATGTCATGATAGCAGCACCCGGTGCCTTCCATTGGTCAGGTAAGTTTTGAGACTTCGAGACTTTATTTGGATATACGAAAGCATACGTGTTGATACGGTGTGGTAACGTTATATCTAGCGCCTGTCACTGCTATTATAAAATTCCTGTATATGTAACCGAGGTGGAATTCACCAGGTTCTTTGAGGATGCTGCACGGGAGACTAACTACAGGGCTAGCAAGAACACACACAGGACACAGGCATTGCCGTCACGCACGCACGGGAGACGATGGGCTGGGACAGTAGTCTTCTCTGTAACCTTCTCGCGAGCTGTCTCTGTCTCAGACTGTCTTCCCAACCCACAGAACTCCCAGCCTTTATTGTCAAACCACAGACTGGACACAGATTGAACAACAGGCAGTCGTCTGGCAAGGGTAACAATACAACATTTAACACCTATATGACATGTCCTTGATGTTCCTATCATCAAAGCCTCGAATTAGCATAACCAGATTATCACACTGGCCACAAAAACTTCAATACGGATGGCCTCTTACAATATACATAAAAAGTGTCATTTTCAACCCCTTACATATATTCAAAATCAATTATCATGAACTGGGCCCCGTGACGGCGGCCTATGCATATGTGACATTCAAAAGGATATAGAATAACAAAGCAAACCCATGTCTATTAACAAACGAAGATTGCTACTGGTAATCACACACAAAAGTTACAAGTCCGTAAATAATTTCATCAGGTTGGAAGATACTTAGGGTATAGAATTTTCTTCTTACACAACCATAGAGTTTCTCAGCCACGTTTGGGATTGCATTCTCGCCGCAAAAGCGCCACCTACATTGGCGTTAAATAGCGGCGAGTTGCAGAACTCCAGTCAGAAGCTCTGAGGAAGGTGTCTGATAGACATCGAAACGTAAGCAGGTGACTATCTTTGGTTGTGTAAGAAGAAAATTCTATACCCAAAAGTTACAAGTGTTTTTCACGTTTTGTGTACATAGGTACGATGTTTGTGACGAGTATGAGTGACCTGTCTCTGGACCTGACCGTCTACCAGTCTAGACGGGAGAGCTTCGACGAGTTTGGACTGGACACCAACAGTTTATTAGGTAAGTTCTCGTGAACTCTTTGCTTTGTTGTAGTGTGTAATCTGTCTGTTCATGAAGTTTGCTTCTACAGAAGTGAAGCGCACGCTTTTCAATGCATACTGTTCCTCTATGTATTGCGCCCAGTTGTGGACACGCTACACTCTGGGCGCTATTCGCAAACTCCGAACGGCTTATAACAACGCCTTTAGAATATTGTTTTCATATGGAAAATTCGAGAGCGCCAGTCGAATGTTTGTGACTGAGGTTGTCGATACCTCCGATGCTCGCAGACGTAAACTAACACACTCTTTCACCAATCGGCTCCTCAACAGTAATAACAGAATCATAAAACTCGCAATCCACTCAGACTTATCATCCACCAGTCACTACTGGGATCACTATATCGGCCTAGTCTACGTAAGGCCCTTCTCGTTTGTAGATGTACCGAACCCTACCGTTTTTACTATGTGTGCACCTTGTTATGGGTTCACCACACCACGAAGTGGTGGTGAACCCATATTGCTTTTTCTGACGTTTCTTCTCCTCCTTCTTCTTCTCCTGCCATTTTTTAAATGGATTCAGCTTCTTCATTTTAGGGCCAAAGGTCCTGAAATTTGGTACGGAGGTACAGTGGGCAAATACCCCCAGGCGTTTTTGAAATTATTGTGATACAGGCTTTTAGAATGGTTTTATTTGAGTTTTTTGGCTGTGTTATAGCAAATGTATTACTGTGTTAGTGTGCCTTGTTTACCACGTTTGGGCATGAGTCATCACAATGGAATGCAGGGCATCAACCAATAGGCATGCAGCTTTCCTCTATTCTTCTTGCTGATTGGCTGTTGGGATTTAACTTGATTAACACCTGCACAGAGCATTTCCACCTGCACAGAGCATTTCTTGCTGATTGGCTGTTGGGATTTAACTTGATTAACACCTGCACAGAGCATTTCCATACTGACAGTATGTCTGTATTCAAGTGTTTTGGTAGGTATTTCAAGCTTTCCTGCTCTAGCATTGGAATGCGGGGCATGGACGTTTTTTTATTTATTTTGAAAATCAACAGTTTGCATTATGCAATTAAAAATCCTAACCAATAAAGTAGGGAATAGCTATCCAACTGTTGTTTTAGTTGTATTTTACTTCATATTATAGTTATATCAATGTAAATCATTGTTTTCCCTTGTGTTTCTCATTCTTTCCCTGCCATGTCGTAAAATGTGGTGAACCCATCGCTGTATTTGCTCCAAAGCAAATATTGGCCTTTCTAGTTATTTTAATTGTTTGTCTACTATGGGCCAATTGCGCCTGAAATAAAGAATAAAGAAAAGAAAGCATGAATAATGTATAACCCCAAATCAATCAGATGACATCGGAGCTGTACTCAAGCGTCAACGCACAGTAATTTTATCGGCTTGAGAAATCAACTAGTAGGACCGCAAACTACACATTAGCCGTATTAGTTACTAACAGAAACATCCCTGCAACACATCTTAGGCTCGTCGTTATCGTCGGGATTTTTCCGCGCGGGAGAGTTGCAGTACGTTGCAGGAGCGCCCCGTGCGGGAGACATCGGTGCTGTAGCGTTCTTCACCAAGACGTACTTTGAGCTCGAGTTGCTGTTGGTCATGCACGGCTACCAGGTGGCCTCGGCCTTCGGGTTCGCCATCTGCGGACTTGATCTAAACGGAGACGGGTGAGTAACATTCTCTGTAGATGCATACGACAATGATTTATGTATTTGTCGAAAAGACCACACCAAGTAAATTTTATGGATGACGTCCACGCGCGCATTGATTTTGGCCTGTTCCTAGAAAAAAAAACAAGAAATTCCGCTGCCTGTAACTATGACCAAAGAGTCACGACAGTGCCGCAAATCGTTAGATTGACGTGAAACCCGTAACGCGAAAACAGGACAGGGCGACAACTGCTGTTCCATCTGATTTATTGCTGTTTTGATGATGAATAAAAGACTTCTTGCTTGTTACACTGTTGTCACCTCATTCAATTTGTGTCCTAACATTTGTCGTCTCTTAGTATATTTCTGATCTAGGCATCTTGTTTTTCAGGGCCCTTCTTGTTTTTTTTTCGCCCTCTCGCATTAGATTTAGGGTCTCCCAAGGACGTCATCCATAAAATTTACTTGGTGTGGCCTAATGCCTGTCATAAGAAATATAGCAAGAATCTCAAAATTAATCATTGACGAACACCCACCACCAATGAGAACATTGCCCTGCAACTGAAGCCGTTTTGTGTCTTTATCTGAAAGGTTAACAGATCTGGCTGTCAGTGCGCCGCAGTACACGGATGGCAACGCAGGGGGCGCTGTTTACGTGTATATCAACGGTGACAAGGTGAGGAATCAACACCAATGAAGTGACTAACTTTGAAATCGTTCAATTTACAAAGACGTAAGGAGAGTTATTATCACTTTGTTGATGATATCTCTACAGTATAGAACTCTTCTTACGTTAGATATGTTTTTGGCGACGTCTCAGGGAGGAGCCTAATGGTACAGTATTATATTGTGTGCAATTCGCAAGAATTCTAGGAATTGTACAGGCATTTTGTTCACAGGAATACGGAGTGTCTACAAGCATTTCTCTGACCCACATCTATGCCCACATTCCTGGAAACCTGAAGATCTGTCTGCCCCAGATGGCCCTACTTTCTGTGACCCGGGTTCGTTCACTATACACTCCGGGGAGTAGTGCATTGTATCTGTCTAGACTTAACAGGTACAAAGCCTTCCTCAAAATCATGAAATCATGGCAGTGCCATGCAAACAATAATCTTAACAGCAACCACCGTCGCCATGGCAATGTTTGTTTTTATTGCCAGTCTTGTTCTTCTTTTTTTCTTTTTCCTTTAGGGCATCAACGGAAGTGAACCGATCGTTCTAACAGGGACCAGTGATTCTATGTTTGGATATTCCATGGTTGACGCTGGGGATGTGAATATGGATGGATTCCACGGTAATATCTTAATTCACATAGTCCAATATTTTAAGTGATCAGAGTAACATCATTAACTTGAAAACGGACGTGTTTTATCTATTTATCAGGTCCTTTTCCATTTTCCCTGGGGCCGAACTCCATAAGGCCATGTTGATTTGATTATATGGATGACATCCTCCGGGAGTCCCAAAACTGATGCGCGCGTGCGAATAAAAAAAGTTTTGCAAAAAAAAAGTTCTTTTCATTATGAAATCTACGTGGTCACGAGGGTTGAGCAAATGGCACAGAATATGGTTTGGTTAATAATCTAGTGTTCAAGTTCATTTCTTTACAATTTCGTCTTTTTTCGTTTGAATTTGGCATTCTACGACATTGGTATAGTTTTTATTAATTTGTTTTGTAACTTATGGTATATTTTTGCTCATTTTGCAACTGTTTTGTACGATTTACAGTATGGTTGAAAACTTTTTTTTTTTGAAACGGCCGAAAATTCATGCGCGCGCGGATGTCATCCATATAATCAAATCAACATGGCCTAAGTGATAGCGATAGAGAATTGGGGGACAAATGGCTACATCATTGTGCTGAAGGTCAATGTTAATTGAATGTTAATTTTCCTGTTCTTGCAGATTTGGTGGTCGGTGCACCATATGAAGATAACGGTGCTGTGTACCTGTACCTGGGGAATCAACATCGCGGTCTCTCCACAACACCGTCACAGGTAGTGTACTCTACCTCATAGTCACGTGCAATGAAGTCATTCTTTTATGATAAACATTATACACATTCAAAGGTTTTGTGATATTAAAATAGACATTCAGTATGGTCATGTCTTTAACCAAGGCTATGTTGATTTGATTATGTGGATGACATCCGCGCTCGCATTAATTTTTGTCCGTTACGTTTTCGACCATACTGTAAATCGTACAGCTGCACCAAAATGAGCAAATTTATGCCGTAAATGGAAGAAAAAGGAAAACAATACTAATGTCGTAGAATTACAAAATAAATTCCAAAGGAAAAGAAGAAAACGTAAAGAAATGAGTCTTTTATTCACCAAACTATACTCTGTGTGTTTAGCCATTTGTTCAACCTTCATAACTACGTAGATTTTAGACAACGTTTTGTTTGCCAAACTTGTTTTATTCGTATTCGTAATTTTTGTATATACTGGGACCCGAATATGAGTTTTGCACGACGTGAGCTTACTCAACTGACGTCGGTTTGCACGCGTGCTAAGCCTAAGGCTCAAGTCGCCGATAGTTTGCACGCGTGCCGTTCCTCAGGCTGCGCTGAGTTCGCACGCGTGTACGTCCTCGCGCTGCGCTGACCTTGCACGCCCGTGGAATTCCTCACTACATACCGAGTAAACACGCATATTGTGGGCGCAAAAGTGGAGGACAGAACGCCGTAATGCCGGACCGAGCCTAACTAACTACCCTTGCGTGGGCCTTGACTAATTACCCAAAATATAGCTCCCGTTATGTTTTCGACCATACTGTAAATCGTAGTTTTGTGGTTCTCAGAAGATGTCATCCATATGATCAAATCAACATGGCCTAATGTCTGTTCTCAGAAAATCCTGGCCTCAGACCTCCTCATCCCCGGACTAAAGTCGTTTGGATTCTCCCTGTCCGGCGGCCTCGATCTGGACGAGAACGGGTTCCCGGATGTAGCCGTCGGTGCGTTTGAATCTGATCACGTGGTGTTGTTAAGGTAAATGGTTTGAATTTGCGTTTGCATTCTTGATTTAGTCGATCATTCAGCCTAAGTTTCTTTCAAATAAAATGAAAATTCCATTATTGATATTATTCCCTAATACTCAATAACTTATAATATATAAGCGAAGAATTAAATTTTTTAAAAGATGTAATTCTCTGCTCTTTCTCTTTTTTTGGATCTAAATGTGTGGCAAGTATAATGTCTATACAGTAAAAAGGAGCATAAACAACTGTTTTTAAAAATTTTCCCAACATTTCAGGTCCCGCACGGTACTAACTATAGAGGCAAAGATGTATGGACCCAACTATAGAATCGATCCCAAGACTAGAACATGTGATCTCAACGGCAAATCGTACACCTGGTAAGGTATCTTCATTAACCAAAACGTATATTCTTTCAAAATGCGACATTGTTATCTGTTCCAGTGAACCACGTGTAGGAGTATCACAGAGTCATCGACAACATTGAGTTGATGGCCAATTTTATGATGTATGCCACGTGAAAAGTCTAAATTATTCCTTCTCTGTTTCAGTTTTCAGATCAAATTTGGTTTCCGCTACTCCGCCAGTTCACCATTTGACAACGATGTTGGTATGTGAACTATTTCCTACTTTAGAAATGGAACATGCTGTCTTAACCCTACCTAGTCCGGGCTTTTTTTGACATGGGGGGACCGGGG